GGGGCTGCGGAACCGCCGCGTGTGCGTTTCTCCCGCCCTAGGGCGAGCGGAGCTCCCGCACCCCCCGTCCTTCTACCCACCTCCCTTTTCTCGTTGTTGTGGTTTATTTTTTTGTTTGTTTGTTTTAATGGAATATTTAGGAAATAAAGCATCGAGTTCCCGTTTGTGGTGGTGTTTTGTTTTGTTGGTTTTTCATGTTCCCAGCTGCAGCCCGGGCCGGGCAGGGCTGGGGCCCCCGCGGAGCCACGGGCTCGCAGCTCTGTCTGGGAAGCCTAAAGAATGTCCCTTCCCTCTGCCCCGGCTCAGACCCACCCGGGGCATCGCCCCCCGGCCCGGCTGCAGCTTCACGTCTCATGTGTTCCCTTCCCAGGTGGAGAGTGTGACTCAGTGGTGAATCTTGGTTTCAAGAGCTCAGACAACCATTCCCTGCTGTTTCAATGGATCAAACAAAACAAATCAGTGGGAATTTCCCTTCTCCTTCCAGTCGTGAACACCACGGCTGAATCCTGAATTTGGAAAGGCTCGGTGCCAAGACTATGGAAGAGTTTTATAATCTTCACACACAGAGAAAGGGCAATTCTGCATCTTCCTTGGTAAGTTGGCCCTGTAAGGCAAGTACTTCAGGCTCCATTCAGCACGGAAATGTGGCCACTCATTTAGCAGGGCTTCATCAGTGCAGAACAAAATCTTTCCGGCAATAACCAGAAGGCAGCAGGTGACACTCCTAGGTCAGCAGGGTTTGTGGTGGGACAGCACTGAAATGGCAGATTTTAGATGGGTTTGGTTAGTGGTGTCTGACCATTTCTGATGTGCAAAACAAGGGACAGCTGCTCCTGTAACAGCACCCTCTATCCCATTGTTGTTCTTGCTGTAGAAGAATGTTCACTAGCTTGGCCAATTTGGTGAACAACTGGGAAGTGATGCACAGGGCTGGACTGAACTCCCAGCCAAAGTCTGAGGGATCTTTAACCTTCCCTCAAACAGGTCAGCCCAAAAGCTGGCTCTCTCCTCCTGTCCTTCCTGCCTGGAGATGGGTACATTCCAGGATGCTCCAGGTTTGCTCTCCCCTCTGGTCCAGCGCTGGGGCAGCTTTGGGAGCAGATCCCAGCAGTGCTGCTGCACCCTCCCCACACACCCCAGGAGCAGCTCTGGGCAGAGCTTGGCTCTTTCTAGGACATTATAAGGACACTTGGGGGTGCCCAGCCCACACGAGGGGTCTGAGGCCAGGCCAGGGGTATTTAAAATAAAAGGAGCAGTGCAGCACAAGGACTTGGCCAGGGCTGCCCAGCGTGGGCGAAGGAGTGAGTCTTGCCTCCAGTTTCATTGAAGCTGGTCCTCTGGCTGGGCAGCTGTGCCTGCCTCCACCCTGTGCCTTTGTTACTCTTACCTAGTGGTGAGGCAGATGCCAAACACATGAGTCTTCCCAACCCTCCACAGGGTTTGGGTTGGTTTTTTTCCCCCTTGAGTTTCTACCAGGCTGTGCTGGAGCATGTGGCAGCATGTCAGGTTAGTGAACTGATGGGAAATACACTGTCTTTTTCCATGCTCCTGGCTGGGAAACTCTGCAGCTTTCCAGCTCTATAGGTGATAATCTAGGGATAGCTCATTAGGCAGGATATGTAAATCAGATGTTACCTGGTTACATCTAATAATCCAAAGTGTTCACTGACATGAAGCATTGATGTGAAACCCTCAGACAGCTCCAACCTCTTTACTGTAGTGTTTCTAGAAATCATTCTTTTTAGTTTCCTCTGCTTATGTTTACCTCTATCTGTGTCTTGCTTTTTCAAATTAAATGAAGAAATCCTTTGGCTGATAAACTGTACTTCAAAAAGTGACATTGTGCTGGCTGAGAGACAGCAGCCCTGTCAGTACAGTCTGCAGAGCACACACACTTTGGACAATGAGAGTATATACAGAGGAATTATCATACTAGAAGCTATGGGATTTAATTTATTTCAGAGCCAAATTATCATCAGGAGTTTTATCAACACGATTGTATGTCGTGATATCTGCAATAGCACCAGCCAGGCTTTGTAACCCAGATCTCCTGCAGTCCTTTGTTCCTAGCTCGAAAAGATTGTAGTCATCAAAACAAAAGGGAACCATTTTCTCTCCTGGGAACAGATCACTAAGTTCCCATAAGGCAAAACACAATTATGCAATGAGGCAAGAGAACATCCTGGGCATGTGGAGTCTTGTTGGGTGCTCTCAGCACTCACATTCCAGCACGCAGCCTGGGTGCAGGAGCAGCACAAAATGGTGGGAGGCTCCACAGCAGCCCCTGCAGAACTCCTGTGCTGCAGGGAAAGGGGCCACCAGCCCTCCTAAGGCCTGGCAGCAGCACCTGCACCTTTTGAAAGCTGTTTGTGACCCAGAGAGAGGACCCATGTACTCACCAGGGATTGGCCAGGATGAATCAAGAAGCAGCACGGAAAGAAAAAGCTGTTTCTTTACATGGTGTGTGTCACTGGGCATGGGGAAATGGACAGTGCCACAGAACTGCTTTCTGCAAACCATAGTGACTGTGGCTGCCAAAGGCTTCTTTCTGGTAGGTCTAGCTAAGAGACAAGTGCTGGGGAGTAGATCCAGAACAACTTTTTGTAATGACCCAGTCCTCAAGCTGCTCTGCTGCAGAAAAGGGACCTTAGAGTCAGGGACTGACACTTGGCTGAAGCATTTACAAAAGGAAGGACTGAGTTTGTTAGCTGTGTTGCATTATTCACAGCACAGAGATAGAAAAACAGGTTTCCTCTACATTATTAGATAAAAATATACCTTTTTGTTGAAAGAGAGCAGTCTTCATCTTCCTGGTAACTCCTCTGGCCCTTCCCCATCCATCTCCTGTACTACATAGATCTTCATCTTGCTTAAGGCTCAAAGTGAAGCCAGGCATTGCCTGGCCATGCTCCTGTGCAGAAGTGCAGAGTTACACTGGGCTCCTACAGCTTTATCTACCTCTGTATGTGCAAACACACATGTGATGCCACTGATGGGTCACTCGCGAGTACGAGCAGATTCAGAGCAAATCCTGTTTCTACAGTGGGGTTTAAGTGACTGATTCTTAACTGGTGTTTTTCCATGGAAAAAACTCTTCTTCCCACACCACCAAAAAAAAATGTTTCATAAAAGCAAGCAGCCTAAATCCTTCTGAGTCTTAACATTACTAGGCTAAGGAGCCTATTGTTACATATTAGTGTTACTCCAATCCTCTTAAAAGAAGAATCCCACCTGTATGTCAACCTGGTTCAGACACATTTATAGCTACAGGTCATTGCTTTCCAGCTGACACAGGTAATGACTGGATATAGTGTACCTGGGATGCTATGGATAAAAGCTGATGGTTCCAACATGGAAAGGAAGGAATCAGGCTGGGTTGTCCACAGAAAGGAGGGGTTGGGGTGCCTGCTGCCAGGCTGTGGGGAGCAGTGGTAGAACAGCAAGAGGCCAGGGCAGAGCTGGGGGTGGTGTCTGAAGTACAAGTGGGAAGCAACGTTTGGTGGGGAGGGAGAGCAGGGGGGATGTTTCAATGGATAAAGGCACCAAAGGGGGAAGGGGATTGAGGAGAAAGCAATGCTTGAAAAAATAGTGAAATACAATGCTCCTGTTACTTTTAACTGAGAACTTTGAGAGTGAATTGTGAAAAGCAGAGAAATACCCATATTTGTATCCCAGCATGTTTACTGGTTCTCCTCATCACTTTATATGCAGCAAAGCCTGTAGCAGGCATCCAGTTCACTTTATAGATCAGCAGGTTTTTGGATGCAAGTGATGTTAGTTGTGTGCTCACTTTTTCAGGGTTTTCTCTCTGTACTGGCTGGTTACTGTGCTCTGTTTCCCTGAAACACTGAGTATCCCCACAAGCAGGGAGCACAGGCCAGTTCTGAGTAGTTAATGCTGGGAAAGGCCACTTAAATCCCTCTTTTCCTTAGAAAGTCTTAGAGTAAAGTGAGTGGGGCTGTGCAGTGTGTGTAAGGGGAGCCCGGGGTCACAAATTATTTAACATGAAGGTATTAACAGGCAGGGGGACCCTGAGCCTCTGGAACCTGTTCCTAAATAGGGCACAGCTCAGAACATCCAAAGGCCTTGGTGACTAATGGGTGGGAATCTCCTAATGATCTTAGTTATTTTTAAACTTGCCTGGCACCACGTGCTGTTCTGCCCCTCTGCAGGGAGGCAGGAGTGCAGAAAAGTGGGAGTGCAACCAGCCCCAGAGCACAGGCTGGGCTGAGCCCGGGGAGGAAAGGGGCAGAAGAGCCTAAGGCACAAAAAAGATGAAATAGCAAGAGACAAGATTAACATTGAATAAAGGCACAAGACAGAGAGAAGCAAAAGAACAAAGGACAGAAGAGTGAAGGTGATAAAAGGACAATATAAGTTGGAGACTTTGGCAGTGTTTTCCTTTTGTTGCTTCTGTTTTTTAACCTTGATTTCCAGAGCAAGATGGGCCAGCAGGTCACCAATGCTAAAGGGGAGCAAACAGAGATGGATGTGGCTGAACTGCAGGAATGGTATAAGAAGTTTGTGATGGAATGTCCCAGTGGGACCCTCTACATGCACGAGTTCAAGCAGTTCTTTGGGGTCCAGGATGACCGTGAAGCTTCCGAGTACGTTGAGAACATGTTCAGAGCTTTTGACAAGAACGGGGTAAGTGGTGAGGAGCTGCTCCAGTTGTCTGCCTAATAGTTCACACCTATTTCTTCTCTAAATTGAAGGTGTTTTGATGCAGCTCCCACTCCTGTTACCATGATTCATGAGAATAAAGCAAGGGTGGTGGACCTGCTAGGGCAGGAGAAGAGCATACCCTGCACCAGCCTGCATGGGCTGGATTCATCCTCTTGTGGATCCACACAAACTAAGGACAGAATGTTCCTAAAGGGACCAGGGATGGATTAGAAGGTTGAAATTCAGGCAGTTGCATTTTAGGACAGTATTGTTGACAGATCCTCAAATAGCAAAGGTTGTTGTGTGGGGAACAAATTATCTGTTATACTAGAGGAAGAGTTAAAATGCAGAAAAGGCTTGTTACACACTGGAGGCAGCGTGTGTGTGTGCGCCCCAGCGTGCGTGCCCCACAGCGTGTGTGTGTGTGCGCCACAGTGTGTATGTGGGTGTACCCCACAGTGTGCGCGCCCCAGCGTGTGTGTGTGCGCGCGTGCCCCACAGCGTGTGTGTGTGTGCGCCACAGTGTGTATGTGGGTGTACCCCACAGTGTGCGCGCCCCAGCGTGTGTGTGTGCGCGCGTGCCCCACAGCGTGTGTGTGTGTGCGCCACAGTGTGTATGTGGGTGTACCCCACAGTGTGCGCGCCCCAGCGTGTGTGTGTGCGCGCGTGCCCCACAGCGTGTGTGTGTGTGCGCCACAGTGTGTATGTGGGTGTACCCCACAGTGTGCGCGCCCCAGCGTGTGTGTGTGCGCGCGTGCCCCACAGCGTGTGTGTGTGTGCGCCACAGTGTGTATGTGGGTGTACCCCACAGTGTGCGCGCCCCAGCGTGTGTGTGTGCGCGCGTGCCCCACAGCGTGTGTGTGTGTGCGCCACAGTGTGTATGTGGGTGTACCCCACAGTGTGCGCGCCCCAGCGTGTGTGTGTGCGCGCGTGCCCCACAGCGTGTGTGTGTGTGCCCCAGCGTGTGTGCCCCACAGTGTGTGTGTGTGTGCCCCGGTGTGTGCAGTGCTCAGGTGGCAGGGAATGGAACAAACCCTGTTCAGCTGCTCCGAGGGAAGGAATGCTGAACAATTCAGACCTTCTGGTTTTGATTCCCTGTGCTGGATTTGTCATCAGACACCCGGGGAAAGTGGGCTTTCTGGTTTAGTAGCAGTTCATGCATACCCATGTGTTGGAGCAGAAGCCAGCCTGGTGCTGGCCTCTGGTGTTCCAGAGCCCAAGGAAACATGAGGTGGTTGCTTTTCTTGTCTTGAAATGGGAAGGCAGTGCTTGCCAAGCTGCAGTTCTGTTCTTTTTCTGCAGCTCTTTGTAACATTGGAAGGATGGGGCTGTTGGCTGCTGGATGGGGACAGGAGAAGGGGACACAAGTGTCTCATCTCTCAGATACAATTTCCCTCAGCCTTCCTTTGAAACCAGGGGCAAAATCACGTTGAGGTTCTTAAAAAAGAAAAAAAAAAAGCTAGTTTGTGAGAATGGACTAAAAAAACCCACGTGAGATGTGGGCAGGTCAGCCTTGTCTCAGGAGTTGGCAAAACCCAGATTCCTGTAGAAAACTGAAGGTCTTGCAGCAAGGGCTGTGGAGCAAGTGGTGTGCAGGAGAGGCCAAGCCCTTTCCCAGCTCATGGCAGTTCTCCTAGTGAACACAGACCCAAACAGGACATGTTTTTAAGGGATGTTGGTACTTACATCTATGAACAACAACAAATTAGTCCTGAGTTCATGTGTTTACTTCAAAATGCCACTGGTAAATGATCAGTTGAGCAGGGCTGAGCAAGCTGGAGGATTAGTAGTAACATGGTAAGGGAATAAAAACCAATCCTGAAGTCTTTTCACGCTCTGTAAGGATCAGTGGTTCTTGCTCAGTAACCACAGAGGTTCAGGAGGTGAGCTAGTTTGTGAGAATGGACTAAAAAAACCCACGTGAGATGTGGGCAGGTCAGCCTTGTCTCAGGAGTTGGCAAAACCCAGATTCCTGTAGAAAACTGAAGGTCTTGCAGCAAGGGCTGTGGAGCAAGTGGTGTGCAGGAGAGGCCAAGCCCTTTCCCAGCTCATGGCAGTTCTCCTAGTGAACACAGACCCAAACAGGACATGTTTTTAAGGGATGTTGGTACTTACATCTATGAACAACAACAAATTAGTCCTGAGTTCATGTGTTTACTTCAAAATGCCACTGGTAAATGATCAGTTGAGCAGGGCTGAGCAAGCTGGAGGATTAGTAGTAACATGGTAAGGGAATAAAAACCAATCCTGAAGTCTTTTCACGCTCTGTAAGGATCAGTGGTTCTTGCTCAGTAACCACAGAGGTTCAGGAGGTGGGTAACCCAGATCTCCCAGGAGGGTGACACAGAGCCAGGCTTAGCCCTGGGGGCAGTGGTGACCTGCATGAGGGCCATCTGCTGGGGGAGCCCTGCAGCCCTTCACTGCTGGAGCTTTGAGCACCCACTGGGAACCCTTTATTGGGGTGTTCCTGCTGCCTCCTTTGGAATGGTGAGATGGTCCTTGTCTGTCTGACTGGGGTGAATCAAGATTAAATGAGGTGAAGGTTGGCAGGAAGGGGTAGTGGTGGGTGTTGGTCTCAGTGAAGCAGCTGAGGTCATTGAGAATGGCAAACCCTTCCCAAAAAAAGCCAGTGCTCACCTGCTCCTCATCCTCCATGGGATCCATCAAGAGTCATTCCCCTGCTTCTGTCTCTGCAGGACAACACCATCGACTTCCTGGAATATGTAGCTGCCTTGAATCTTGTTTTACGGGGCAAACTGGAGCACAAGCTGAGATGGACATTCAAAATATATGACAAGGATGGGAATGGCTGCATAGATAAACCTGAGCTGCAGGAAATTGTTGAGGTAAGTAGGCATTGCCCAATCACTTATTGAAGCAATCTCAGCTCTTTGGCAACGCAGTGGAGTGTGTGGGGCTTGAGACAACCAGGTTTCAAGGCAGCTGTGGGCAGTGATGGAGGGAAAGTGCCTGGACCTTGGTGCAAAGGGTCATGTACTTGGAGGTTTGGAGACTGATGGGGAGGCTGTGGGACCAGCTGGGCCCTGCTGCTGCAGAAATGCAGCATCCAGGTGCTGTTGTGGAGTTCCTGTGTCTCTGCTCTGCCTTTTCTTTTAACCTTTTTACACCAAGATTCATTGCACTGCCCAGTGGAAGGGGTTTCATCCCATGCTCCTGACATGTTTCCTGCCCAAGTAGCTGGTGAGAATACACTGAGAGGCACAATTAGTACGAAAATACTTTTTGTAATTATTCCTTTCTAGGTTTCTGTTGTGTTCTGCACTTAGCTTTAATTGCTGTCTGTGTGAGAGGAGGTGTGGGGCTCAGCAGGCAGCCAGACACAGGGTCCCTGGGTTCTTCTTTAGCTAAATATCTTGGAGATTGTGCTGGCATCACCCTGGCACTTCCAGGAGCTGTTACCCAAACAGCAGAGCTTGGGAGGCTGAATGGTGATCAGACTCTTCAGGATCTTGGGTGCAATGCAGTGTCAGGAAAACATCAGATGGAATTTGGGAAGCACAAATTGGGCTGGGAAGTGTGACCAGCTTGTTACCTGTGCCACCAGCAGCAGGTGTGGGGACCTTGTCTGGAACAGGCTCAATTCTAGCTTGAGGTCAACCAGGAATTGGCCAGAGCTCTTTTAGGCTCTTGCTAATCCCCCCTCTGGGAAGACTTCAGACAAAACCCATCAGCCTAAGGAGTAGAGTTAATAATGAACAGCTGGTTGTCATGGAAAGGAACAGATAAAATCTGCCCCTTGCCAGTGACAAAGTGGAACAGAAACTGTGGGTCAAAATATGTGCTAATACAGGTTTGATCTTGCAGCTCAGACACAGGCTTCCTGGGAGAGAGGGCTGGGTAAATCCAGAGGTGCTTGGCCTCATATGTTAGAAAAATCATACTCAGAAGTTGGATAATTTTCCTGTCTGAGAAACTCTTGCCGTGTTATTTGCAAAGGAACCCTGAGGTCTGACCAATATGTGGAAGAAGGGAAATAGGAGGCAGCAGCTTCAAAGAGCACATGAAGCAACCCAGTGTGTGTGAGGTCAGTGGCCCCAGCAGATCTGGGGCTGCCGAGTGGCAGATCTTTCTAGAGAGGTGAAAACATCACGGCCTTTGTGAAAGACCTTCACACTGTTGGGAAGGCAAAGGAGTTCACTGCTGCTCGTTCTCCTGTCCTAACCTGTGAACCCCTTCTCAGGCTATCTACAGGCTGAAGAAGGTGTGTAAGTCGGAGGAGGAGGAGGAGGATGGGACTCCTCTGCTGACTCCAGAGGAGGTTGTGGACAGGATATTTCAGTTAGTGGATGCGAATGGGGATGGTAAGTGACCCATGGCTCAGCCTGCAGTCATGCAATGAGGGGTTATCTGTGCTGGGCAGGTTGCCTTTAATTGCACCTATCCATAAATCACTCAGGACTACTATGTTACTCACATCAGACACACTGGGTTTGGTTCTCCTCTGTTTGTTAGAATCAAGAACAATTTGGTGCAATAGGAGGAAGTGATCTTTGTTTTTATCCTAATGTCAGATACTTGGGGTGTATCCAGCTGGGTTTGGGGGCACACAGATCTCCTCTGGAGCCAGGTCCCAGTCCCAGCACAAACAGCCTGGGTGAAGCCCAGGGCTCCAGCAGCATCAGGGCTTGCAGGATCAGACTTGCAATCTCCTGAGCAGCCTCTGGGATCTAATGCAACACTCGGTGTTGGCCAAGGGGCTGGGGCAGGTGTGAGCACCTGGGGCTGCAGGGGGTGGCTGCTCTGCCAGCAGCTGCCCTGGGCTGCACAGGAATCGCTTGGCTTAGAGTATTTTCTGAAACTTAGGTGACTTTTTCTTGCCTTCCTCGTCTTGTGTCTTATCTGCCATGTTTTGTCTCTCCATCTGATGTCGTCCTCATCTCGCTCACAGGTCAGTTGTCTCTTGACGAGTTCATTAATGGGGCCAAGAAGGACAAGTGGGTGATGAAGATGTTGCAAATGGATGGAAGCCCCGGGGGATGGATCTCTGAGAGGAGGAGAAAGAGTGCTTTGTTCTGAGAATTCCTTTTTGAAACAGCTGATAACGGGATGCTGACTGGGACTGGCTCTCCTACTGCAGGCTGGTAGTAGCTTTTCTTTTGAACAAAATCTTGGCATCCAGATGAAAACTTCAGTGGTTTAAGAATCCATATCTCACTGTAAAATCCATGTGCTGCCTACTGCTGGTACCCAGAGACTATTTTTGCCCTATGAATAAGTCTTTCTGTGTACACAATACCATGTTTGCCAACTCTGTTTTTTTGTTACACCCCAAGGAACAAACCTCTTGTGGTTTTTCTGCAGCAGATCCTGGGCAGGGTTTTAGTCTGGTGACAGATGGGATTGGGAAGGAGGGAATCCTGTTGCAGTGGTGCTGTCCTCGGTGCAGACCAGTGTTTGCAACATTCCTGCCTGCAGAGGTACAAACACATTGAACAAGAAGTGATGATGGAAGGGTGCTCTGGCAGGGGGTCAGTTTGTGTATTTAGTAGATTATATTACTACTAATGCCAGGTTATTGAACACCTACATATCACTATCAGGGCACAGTGCTGTGGGCTGGGCAGTGGGAGTGGAGCCTCCTTACATCCCCCTCCTGTGGACCTGAGTCTGCTCCTTGTAGCTGCTCAGACACTTGGGTTCCTGTGAGGCTGCAAAATGTCCTTTCCAATCCCTGAGCAGCAGTGGAAACGGCTCCTCTTGGGAGCTGCTGGGTTGGACTGGCACGAGTGTGATGCTGCTCCTTTTGAGCTGGTTTCTTGTTGGATCATCCACCTAGAACAGCTTCTCCTGCCCTGTGAAGACTGAATGAGCTCGAGAAGCTCCAGGACTTACATGGAAGAGTTTTGTGTGGAAGGAGAGAGAAGGGAAGAGCAGAGCTTTGCTTGGCAGTGTCTGCAGAGAGGGGATTAGTGCTGCTGTGTTGGCAGGACCACAGAGAGGAGAAAGTGAAGAAAAATCTGAGTTATTTAAGTAGTGCCAGTGGTTTTACACTGGCCTTAATTAGCCACAAATGACAAATAAAATACACACAGGCTGTAGGCTGAGCTCTGCTGTTCTTATGGCTAAGCCACGTTCCTCCATAGGTGTGTGTATGTGGAAAGAGATTTTGAGTGGAACCAATATTTTAGCTCACTTTAGTTGGAGTATTTGCAAGGAAACTTTCCCCAGGAAAACACAAATTTGTCTGTTCAGTTTTCCCATGAGCTCAGTGGGCCAAGTCCTACCCATGAAATATTTGCAATCCCTTCAACTGTGACTGTGAAACCTTTCATTAGTTGAATACTTTGCTGGTTTGTGGTCTTGTCCATTTAGCTGATGTTTAAATTCAGGAACATGAGGAAGGACTCAGGATAAGACACAGCCAGTGACAGGGTTCAAATCCATACACATTTCTACTTCTAAATAGCCTTCCTAAGAGTTCCCTGTAAATGCACACACAGCCCATGGCTTCCTTACTTACCTGAGTAGATGAGACTCAGTTCCTGCTGCTGTAGGGCAGCTGGGTAGAGCTCCCTGCAGTCAGGAGTTGATCAGCCAAAGATAAGAAAGAAGAATCTTTGCTTCTGACTTGAGGGCCTGGAAGAAAATATTCACTTTACTAATTTATTTTTCCAGCTTGTGGACAAATGTTTTCATGATAGGATACAAACCCCTAATTCCTTACATTTCAGCTTCTCAACTAGTGTCACACATTCTGCTCCTTGCACAATTTCTGACTTTCAAGTGGATGTTTTCTTGCTGCAGTGGCAGTTTTCCTTAAATGCTTTGACCTTTCTTGTTCTGCTCAGCTGGGCAGGTCAGGCAGGAGCTGTCTGGTGTCCCCAGAGCAGCAGTCCTCTGCTGGGGTGGTAGAGGGCATCCTAACACTGAGCACTCCAACAAACAGTTGTTGGCAGAAATTTTGTAACACATGGATTTAATAAAGAATTATTTATTATAATTCTGTTTCATAGTATTTCTTTTCAACGTGGAATGAAGGTGGGGGAGTGTGTAAGCAGCTGAGTATTGGATCAAAGCTGTAGTCTCTAAGACTGACATAATGAATTTAAGGGAGGTGTGAAGTGTTAGCAGCTGCCCTGGGTCAGACAGGAGGCAGAGATAGTGATGCTCCTGCAGAGCAGAAAAGGAGTGGGGGAAAGCACGTGTATGATTAAAAGAAGAGATTAATTTGAAGTAGTTGCTTTCAATCAAATGAGCTGATGGTGTTGCAGTGATGTGGCCCCTGCCAGGAGCCTGAAACAGAAGCCTTGGAGCATTTAGGACTCAAAGTGAAGTGCTGGATGTCTGGGCTGGCAGGGGTGTGTGTGGTGGGTGACACTTGTGTGGGTGGAAAACTGTTCCTTGTCTCAGTCACGTAATCTTTTGACAAGAAATCACAAGGTGCTTTGGTCTTAGTCCTGCTGTTATCTCTAAGACTGACATAATGAAGGGAGGTGTGAAGTGTTAGCAGCTGCCCTGGGTCAGACCAGAGGGGAGGCAGAGATAGTGATGCTCCTGCAGAGCAGAAAAGGAGTGGGGGAAAGCACGTGTATGATTAAAAGAAGAGATTAATTTGAAGTAGTTGCTTTCAATCAAATGAGCTGATGGTGTTGCAGTGATGTGGCCCCTGCCGGGAGCCTGAAACAGAAGCCTTGGAGCATTTAGGACTCAAAGTGAAGTGCTGGATGTCTGGGCTGGCAGGGGTGTGTGTGGTGGGTGACACTTGTGTGGGTGGAAAACTGTTCCTTGTCTCAGTCACGTAATCTTTTGACAAGAAATCACAAGGTGCTTTGGTCTTAGTCCTGCTGTTAAATCCATAGGTACGAACACTTTGATCTCCTCCCAAACTCCACTCTTCATTCACATCCCACTGCTGATGTCAGACACTGGGCATAATCCATTTTTCCAGACTTACAGCCCAGCCAGAATTGGATTTGACTGATCGGATTTCTTTTCAGGCTAAATTAGGAAACAAGATGGCTTGGAAAAGGCAAATGCCATGTGAGCTTTTGCCATCTGCTCTGATGTTTGAGGCCTCTGAAGTTTAGTTCTGTGAAGGTGAAGTAATGAGGTGAGAGCTGAAGGTAAGACTGGTGCTGAGGGTGGCTGATGGGGGGACACCAGGGGACAGGAGCTAAGGAAGCTTTGTATCTTGAAATACTCTGCCCAGCTGGTTCCTGAGATTCTGGAATGCTGTTTCCCCCTGGACAGACAGGGAAACCCACCTAAGATCCCTCCCAACTTCAGCTGATCCATGGATCTGTGATTTCTGCCTCCCTCAAAAGGCAGAGGGGCCCTGCAGCTCCCACAGCCTCAAACCCTGCTGTGCTGCATCCCCTGGTGCTGCCCATGGCCCCTGGGGGTGGGTCCTGCAGACCCAGCACCCTCTGATGGCAGCTCCTAAAAGAGCCTCTCCCACCCCCCCAGGGGCTGCACTGCCCCTCCCTCCCCACAGACACTGTCACCAGTGAGCAACGTGTCCGTGGCACCTGAGCAGCCAGCAGTGCTTTGAAATAAACGAATTATGTATGAGCTGGGGCAGAGAGAGTCACAATATTGGCTTCTAATTATTTTAAATTTGCTTTCTTAGCGGCTGAAAAAACAACCTTTGGGGAAAGACGCTGAGGTTTGTGAGGTGCCTTGGGGCAGGGGTCAGTCCTGAGGTCTGGGGAGTCACTTGGTCTTTAGGAAGAGCTGCAGGGCTGGTGGGGGCTGCTGCCCGGGGGGGCTGGGAGAGTCTCTGCAGAGGGAGGGGGCACAGAAGCCCCTGCTGGGCTCGGCTCCCCCCTCCCTGCTGTTGGAAAGACAAAGTGCAGGAGGTTTTTGTGCCGGTTGCTCGTGGGGAAGTTAATTGTGCTGGCAGGAGGAGCATTGCAGCCCAGCCTGGCTCTGATGAGGTGCTCACAGGCTGCTCCCCTCCTCTCCAGCCGTGACTGTTTTAATGGAGCCAAAGCAAAGGCTTCTGCACTTGCACGAGACTTGATTCGTCCTGCTGGAAGCAGAGTGAGTGATGGAAAAAGCACAACCTGAGATAATCCTGTAAAATACCTTTATTGGTTTGCTATAAGGTTGGAAGTGCAAAAGCTTCCAGGTAAAACACCGTGAAGTGAAAAAGACGCACAGGGAAAATGGTCAGAAAGTTCCTTAGGAATTGCAAGAACCCAGTGCTAAATAACGAGTCTTTCAGCTGCCAAGAAATCCTTCCTGGTGTCCCCTGTTGCCGCAGCATCAGACGAGGAAACTCCTCCCCAGGAGCAGCCCCAGCGCGATGTGGGGCCGGTGGGTGACACGGGGACAGGGGCCGATTTGGGGGCGGTGGGTGA